TTCAGCAACTTATATTATCATGGTAATAACACTGTTGTTCCCACCAGCCAATGTGTTTTACTGTTGTTCAAGTCTTTCTAACTCTTCTATTCTTTCAAACTGTTACAAAACACCATCATCCTGACTACAAATCATTCAGTAAAATTATTTATCTGATTCCCTAACTTTAACATCTTCTCTCAGTTTCTCTTATATTTTTATTATTAGTAGGGACTATGATTATGACACTTCATCTCTATACTTACTATCCTCTTTTGTGGAAAAAAATATACATAAGTGTGAGTGTACAGCTAAAGAAAATGAATTCACTGAAAAGAGCCTCTTCACTGAACTTCTTGTTTGGTTTTTCACCAATGTTTAATTGGTAAACCTACAGCGTGGTGCCTTGTGGTAAAGCTTTTAGTTGCAAAAGTGCATAATTGGAGATCGTATGTTTAAGAAAGCATGAAATCTCTCGAGGTTATAAAAAACGTCTATCTCATGAGTGTCAGAAGGTGTAAGATAGCCGTCTTCCTAGTCAGTCAGTGATAAGTCCCAACATATTTGTTTTGTTCACATTATCACCCTGTTGCTTTCACCCAGCAGGATAAATACTTATTCATGTTGAAGTATTGTCTAGGTGAAAACAGTTAGTGGATCAAGTTTCCAGAAACGTTGTAGTCATCATTATCATCATTAGTCGGATTTATATTGAATGGGTCACTGGATGATTGTAAATTACTTTTGTAAATACGCATCAAATGTCACAGTGGTTATAGAAAAAAAACAGCTATCACCACACTGCAAGAACTTACGAGCATATGTTATAGACTGCTTCATTGTCAATTAAGAACGAACAGTCAGTATGTTCTAAAGTTGAATGTGTAGTTAGTAAAGAGTTGTACGGTTCAACAACCGCTGAACTTATTCTTGGTGATGGATAGATTAGAAATTGAAACTTTGGCTTTTTACCATAGTCTACACTCATACGTTCAATCAGAAGTGAAGTAAATCCTGAGCCGGTACCACCACCGAGTGAGTTATAAAAGAAAAAGCCTTGTAAACTGTCACATGTATCAGCTAGTTTTCGAATACGATCCAATGTTAAGTCACACATTTCACGACCAATACTATAATACCCTCTAGCATAATTATTAGCTGCGTCTTCTTTACCAGTTATTATTTGATCAGGACCGAATAACTGACGGTAGCTACCTGTACGAACTTCATCTATGAATCAAAAAATTTTTTAAAAAAAATAACGAAATAAACATGTTGTAGTAAGTCATGAGAAATCAGCTGTGGGTGATGAATAAAGGTCAGATCACAATTCTGAATGAATATGCATTAGTTCAAGTTGCCATTCTTCGAAGAGTCATAAAGAAAGAGAAAAGAGACGTTATCATACTGCAGTGTGTGGAGGGGATAGAGGTATAATAATTTAATAAAGATCTATGGTGTTCAAATCTTTGAAAATGTTAAACAGTGAATGCACTTGAGAATTTGCGCGCGTTGGTGGTGCAGCGACAGAATGCCCATCAACCACGCAAGTGGTCTGGGGTTCGATCCGACGCACCCTTACCCTCGCCTAGCCGGCAGAAGATCCGATAAGGAGGGAACGTTGGGCAACCCCACCCAGTAAAAATAAAACCCCTACCACAGAAACTTCAGAGCTCTAGCCTGAAACCCTATGTTCTACTTGGAACGAAAAGGAATTATATATATATATGTTTACTGTGAATGAGCACGAAAATTCTCCAACCACTGAGTTTTAGCACCTGTAAAAGTCTAGCCAGACAGCTTACTCTTACTTAGGTGGTTCAAGCCAACGGTGAATTACTTAACAAACTACTGGCATGTTTTGGTCTGGCAAGCTTTAACTCTTTCTTAACCTAATCCTGTCTCAGTTAACATTGTTTGTTAAACAATATCATTGTTTGGCATATGAAGCATATGCCTTAATTGCCTCTACTGGATATTCATAGTTTATTCAGTTAACTTCTCTCTCTCTCATTTCGCTCCAGTAAGCTTAGGTTTAATAAAACCTCCAGTTTATTTACATCTTGTATCCTCAGTAACTACGTATTACAACCATTCTGTGAGATAGGACGACCTTCTGTGCAGTACAAACTACACTCGATGGGTAGTCGAATATCATGTCGGTGCAAAGAGGACTTAAGTTGGAAATTGATAAATAAGCCGTGTGTAAGCAACCCGAGACTCTATTGGCAATCACTTCCATAGGATTCATGCAATTTCTGAAGTGTTCAGAACAACCAATCACTTTATTTCTTATCCTTAAATTTAAAGTTAGTGTATAGCAGTCCTATAGCATTCAATTACGTCTGATAAAGACAATTCCAATGCCAAATTTAGATTTTCGCTTATAGAATCTAGAATACTATATTCTTCGAAGATTTTTCTTGGTACCAAGCCACTTTTCGAAAGGCTAGGATAAAAATGAACCTTTTAAAAGAAACCATTAAGTGTTGTGGCTCGTAAAGTCGAAAAAATGACATAATAGTTCTGGTGAAGATAAAAGATACGCACAAAATCAATGCTGAGCTGTTTACGCACTCAGATCATCTGACTGAATAGTCTTTCTCCTATTTAGCTCGTTAGAAATTCATAAAAGATATGCCTAACTTGTTAGCTAGTTGAAACTGGACAGATATCTACGGTACTCTTGACTCATTCAAATTGTTAATGTCAATGATACACATAAATACATGTGCAGAACGTATATTATTTTTAGATGTATAATTTTTCACAAGTCTACATTTGAAAGAAACCATCTACCTCAAATGCAATTGTATTCATAATAAGAACCTTGTGGTCACCCCCTAGAAAGCATATTTAATAGAGGATTCGGAATTAACAATGAATTTTGTAGAAATAAACGTTGGTTAGTAATGAGGTCATCAATTCAGTAGTTTTTTTAATTGACTACATTATGACTTTTATGAATATCAGTGTGCCACATCAAACGACCCATCAGTTCTATCTATGGAAGCAGCGCATTGCTAACATTCTCGTCATCTGTTATGATAACTGTGAACTTTACGACAAATGCTTGTTAAGTATCACAGGTTAATAAAGTCTACGATAGAAACTGAAGTCATCTGATGGTTGCAACACTTTCTGGATGTTTACTTATAATGGAGACATGATGCTCTAAAAGATGTCAAACTGAAGTCAAGTTTCCGAAATTCAATCTCGTTAAATAAGAAGAAATATGATCTGCTTTCTTTGAATAAAAAGTGAGAAGAACCAGTGAAGATGATGAAATAAGTAAGGTACTGGAAAAGATCAAAGTGCACGATGAACAGACCTCGATTGTCCCAAGGAAATGCTATTAATTAGTGTTGGATTTAAAAGAGATTCAGTTGCACAGATATTTTAGAAGATGGTGTTTAAGCTATTAAAAATAATTCGTTGCTTTTTGGAATGAAAAGCAAATGAGTTGAAAACTATCAATTCCAGCCACCTTTCTCTTCTGGGAAGTTATAAATGCCGAAACATTGTTACATTTGGTTGTTTGAAAGAGAATGAGTGCTAATCGACAACTCGACTCTTGGAAATATGAATAACCCTACTCATTCTAGTTTACTAGAGTGATTTTTAATAATCATTCATGAAATAAAATCAAAAGAAGCAGGAATGTGCTAATTCACTTCACTAGAGGTTCTAAAACTTTATTAAATTTAAGCATCAGCTCAATGTTTAGGCGGAAAAAATTCGGTTTCTGTAACGTTTTTCATTTTCTTATCACTCATTACTCTTATCGTTTCCATACTCATTCTCTTATTCTGTTTTTTTTTTAATTTCTATTTACCGATTGCTACATTCTTTAATGTCTGGTCTGAGTTTCATGCCTGTTAGGAGTTATCAAGCAGCTGTATATGCAAACTTATGGTGACTCTCAGATCCTTTGTGATTTAAATTCAGGAGACTCAGAACTAAAGCCATAGAGTTCATCACTGAGCTATGCGTGTCACGAATGATCCCTTTTTCCTTAGAGATATAGATACTTGTGTCTGTTGAGTATGAACAAGCATAAAAACTAAGTAAGGTAAAAATCTCTGCTATGACTGGGCTACTCCTAACATTACACATTAAACTACGAAGTACAATGTCTGCTGTCTGACTGAAGTTTTCAAAGTTGCAAGAGTCGTTGATAGAAAATTGTCAGTCAGACTTACTAATTTGGAAGCTGACATCCGATGAATAACAAGTAAAAAGACTACGTAGTGTCCAGGAACTGAGTTGCTTCAATCTGAGATATTTGGGCACTATAAACTGTTAATACCAAATAAAATTTAATAGAATCTGAGTTCTATAAAGCAAAAACTGAAACTCTGACTGTAATATCACATTATGCTTACAACATCAAAGGACGACTGAAACAATTTTTGTCAGGTTGCTCTTACTACCATCAACAGTGTGCATTAAAGTGATAACCTAAAGGGACGCAGGGTGATCATCAATTATTAATATCTTTCTTAGCTCTTTAAGCAGTGTCATACCTTTAATGATTAGAGTTTTCTTATCTCCTGAGCATGGTACAAAACAGGCTTATATTAGCCCGAAAATGAAGCTTTATACTTGGAAACAATAAAAATTTATGCAGTCAGACATACACCTTTTTTTACTATTTTCTTCACTACAAATTTAGTAAACACAATGAAGTGTCGATATTACATGGGTGGAGGCAATCGGCAAGAAGCCTTGGACTTAGGTTTCATGCTACTTGACACCTGTCAGCAAGGCCTATCCGAAACCTTGAAGGAACTCATGTCCCCTCTGAGAACGGAACCCGTGTCACCCAGTGCTGCAGTCAGAGACGTTATGATTGAGGCATTCGGGCTTGCTATTGACTTCCTCTAGGACTGTATTCGATGCTTTGATGGGACACATGACACCAGTTAATTAGTGTCCAGTCAATGTAGACTAAACACACTTATGTAAAAATGGCATTAAATAATAAATTAACAAGAAGGTATCACTTAAAATCGACAAGTTTACTTACCCCCAACAGTCGGTTCTAAGTCTACAAAAATTGATCTCGGTATATATTTATTTTTAGAAGCTTCAGCAAAGAATGTTGAATATGATTCATCAACTGGTGGATGTTTCATTAAGCCATCAGGTCTAACACCATGCTCTAAGCAAAATAATTCCCAGCATGCATTTCCTAATTGTATTCCACATTGTCCTATATGAATCGATATAATCTCATGCTGTAATGTAATCTCATTTCAACGGTTACATCATAAAGCTTACCATATTTATTATTATTATTATCTTTCTTTATCATAAATATTAATTAAATCACTTCCAATTAAATTGGCTACTACTTTCCACTGACTAATATATTAAATAAATGTAAAGACAAAGTTGTCAGAGGCCCATCACCTGATTGATCGATTGCCTATTGATTATTCTGTTCAATTCTAATTCATCGGTGTAAAGTATTCAGACTGATTAATTAATGCATAAGACTTCTAGTTAAAGATACACGATTTGCACACAAAGTTGTTCTCAGTCATTTGAGATTATTAATATGATTATTTAAAAGATATTCCCTGGGGGATATTAAAATACTTCTCTGGGAAAATATGACAAGGATTATAGTTTACTTCTCTAAGTACATTTGAAAGCCTACAAAGTAGAAGAATAAACTCAGGAGACATGAAGTTTAGTAGATGCTGTGAAGCAGTGCTGATTGAACTCACCCAGTCATCATATCATCATATTCCTTCATGTTCCCAGCGGAACATAGGGCTTCAAGCTAGAGGTTTGAAGTTTCGGTAGAAGTGGTGTTTTTATTTTTACGGGGTGGCGTTGCTAGCCTCATGCCTAACCTTCTCTCATTGCCAGCCTTATTACTGGTTTAGCGCGGTAAGGTGGTACTTTGGCCGGACCACAGGCTTGGTCGGCAAGCGTTCTACCGCTCTGCTGCCGATGCACAATGCCTTAATTCTTTAAGTTTTGTAAATATGGCATTCCACGTAATTATCTACTAAGCGTTGTTCGGTTATCGTGGTTGAATCTGACTTTTGTATTTACTTCAGTGTTGGGGGTGTTTTCAAGTGGTCAGCTGCTTATAATGTCAAGTCTGGAGGCACATTCTAGCCAGGTTCCGTATTACAATGGAATAATTGTTTAGGAAATCCCTCCTGAACGATGTAGGCACAATATTCATATTCGGATGTTTCAACTAACTTTGTAGTTATTATACGTCCCCCCCCCCCTAGACTGCATATGACTGTTCTGACATTTGCATATCATGTATTGACTTGGTCCTTATTGTTTGACTTTTTCCTTGTTTAGTCTCCAATTTCTATACTTCTTTTTGTGATTGTGCCATACATTGACGTGTTACTTCACGATGTGATTTTGTTAGTGTGAATCAAGGTCATATTGACCTTGAGCTGTCTGTGGGAAACGTTGGTGTATGAACCTTGTGGTCGGAGTCTTGATTCCACTTTTTTTTCCTATTTAATTCTAAGGTGTACTTCATACAGTTGAATTTTGGTTAACTAATTTTGTTCTACAGTAGTCGTTTTGTACTTGGAAATTTTTCTTGTCTGTAGCATGGCTGCTTAACGACACTGTACAGGTAGTTTTGAGTTTCTGATATTATTAATGCTGCTGAATAGAACCACACAGCTTCAGCTAAGAATAATCGTTTTTCTCCTCATTTAGAGCGTATTGTGACTAGCTGAGTCTCAAAGAAGTTTTGTCAACTCAGCAATAGGATACAGAGATCGGTTTCCCGCGTTCAGACCACAACGAGTTGGTTTCGGTCGTTACAGGCATAAGTGAAGTAAAACTCCGTCATAACAGACTTACATACTTAATTCTTATCTAATCGCTGTTTTCAATCCATTTCGTTGTTACAACTTTTTCTGATGCTTTTCTCATCTGTATCCAGTTGTGTTTAAGTGAAATTTGATGATCCGGATCGATTTTTTCATCTGGTGTTTACTTTGCTGTTAATTGAGTAATTTGAATTAAGCACATTAGTGGTTGAACTTAAGTTACTACTGCCAGGTAATCTCGTAAATGTTATAATTTTTCAAGCAGATGTTAAGGCACACATTCATCCAATCTAAAGTATTTTCCATACAGAGAATTAAGCCTTTTTACTCTTATTTTATTTTGGAGGCTGACAGTGGACCAAATAGTTTAGTGGTTAAGTCACCACCTGAGAAATTAGGTGACATAGGTTCAAATTACAGTGGAACAGTAACTTCTGTCAGAGTTGAAGATACAGTTTCCTGATAGGTGATTCTCGCTAACTAACTTCTAAGAAATCATACTTTGATAACTATTTGGTAATAAGGGATTTTTCTAGAGGCATTTCATCTCTTATTATTAAAGTAGTACTCTGGTAAGAGCTGACTGCTAGCCGAATTGGTAGATAGTAATTTACGTCAATGTTTACGTTCCCAGTATTGGTCATGAGAAAAATAAGAGCAAAGACTGTTTCAGCCTTCAGTCACAGCACACTTTGCGTAGGCGGATACAATTTGCAGATAGATAATCTGAACTTCAAGAAGCGGCCACAAAGAGATAAAAGATTAACATTCAACGAGAAACCACCAATCAGAAGACTGTGTCTGTTCGCTTACAATAATCTATAACAGTGTACATGAAAATCTATAAATATGTGCTGATTTCCTAAATAAACGATCTGTTGCCTGGCCTTTGTCTTCTGCCGTTACAGTACAACTTGAATACTCCTCGTTGGGTATATCATATACACAATACAATTTTAATGCGTAATGTAAATAAGTTTGTAACCTATACTTATATGCATATATCAAGTTTTTTAAAGTGGGTGAAAAAAGAGTGAAACGACAGAGGTTCAGTTAATGTTTTGTGCTCATCGCCTTTGGAATCATCTGCTTCAATGGTGAAGAGTTCCATTCTAGGACTAAACAGCTCTCCAGCGCTTCATGGTATCCACTGGTTCACTAACTAACGTAAATTCACACTGACACCTATCTGAATACTCTATATTGCTAGAACATGCGACATACCACAAAAATCCCATTTTTATTTATTTTCTTAATAAATTTCGTCGAAAACACTGAAGTGGTCCTGAAATCAGCGGACGTCTGAACACTTCATCGTTTACGTAGTGGTGAACAGGCAATTCAATTCAAGCAAGCAGCTGTTTTTACTTATTAACAACTTAAAGCCTGTCAATCGTCAAACAGAGTGGTTTCTATATTGATTTTGAAAGCTCTTTTAACGAAATTCAAAGCTCAGTGAGTAATAAAACTTTGATAAGGATCATTATGCTCAAGGCCTTCTTCTATTTCGTCTTTAGAAGAGATAGGATAGAAGTTTAAAATGTTAGATATCAAAAATAAATTTACTTAGAATAATGATAAATTGATTTTCCACAGGTTGAAGTGAGCACTTTAATTTTCATGTCAGATGTGAAGATAAATGATGAGATGCACAGATGGGCTAGTGAAACACATCCTGGTTTCCTGTGGTGGTCACCACCAAACACCTTACGTCATATCAGAAGTCAAGGATATACTGCGCCAAAATAGTACCAGTCGATTCTGCACAGAAAGATCAGTAGAGGACTACAATTACAATTAAATAATACCGGGTCATATGATTCAAGCCACAGTTTCATCTCGAGGCTAATCGGTTAGGTGAACGACTCTTAGACGTGTGAGATAATGACTTCTAGACATCATTATTTACTACAAGTCAGCAGGAATAAAACCACTGTCAGCCGTCACCAGACAATTTTATGCTCACAGAGAATGTTTCTATCATATAGTGAACTGGAAGAAGTTTGAAATCACGGGACAATAAGTTTAAACTAACTTTAGAATTAACAGCCTTTTCGGCCATACCATGCGAAGTTGTGAACATACAATGCTGAAGAGTGCATAGCTAGAGTGAAACACCATTTATTGCTCCCCAACTAACGTTAAATCATGACATGGCTCCAAGTATCTTATTTATATGAAACAGTAAAAATGTAGAATTTACACTCAGCTATTTTACTATATAAGGATAAAACGTAGACACTGTGGTAGAGTATAACTCCATTATGAATAAAATTTTATTTTGATGAATCACACAGTGTTGTAATACAGTAATATTTACAGATGACTTTTCGAGCACAAATTATTCCTCATAATCATATCAAGGCATTCACTAGTTCTACTAGTTGTAAAGTGATCATATATATATATATACATATACAAATATAGTGATATATCAATTCCTCCATAACTTAACTTGGTTGTTCGTGTCCTATTTCCCCATGATTTTTTAAAGCATCTGTTGATATCATTTCAACCATCGTCATCATATCGATAGCGAGGGATAGATACTAAGTGACATGAGTGCTTTCAATTAGGAATAAATACTCTGATGTGATTTCAAGCATAGACTGTACCTCACACTCCCAATGATTGACCATCTGGATAAACTACGTTGATTTTGACAAGAACTGAAAGGTTATCATACATTTGATCACTTTTAATGAATATGCTGACACAGGTCCTTCTTTCCATCCAAAAAATCAGCAACAAAAATGTAACATTTCACTTCTTACTTAAGACAAAATTACCTGAAAATCGAATAAAATAACACATTCCTCAAAAAGCGGACAATAAGTATGCGAGTATTGGTCTGCAGGGATCTGGTTGACTTCAGGATTTCATCATGACCTGATATCGGTTACAGAACCATTGGAAAAACTGGTTCTCTTTCACATCAATCTGGTGGTCACTAGAGACTGGCCCTATTAAAGTAGGTGGTTGCCTGGGGTTTCTTTCTAGTGGGAAGTTGTGACCAGTTGGGTCCATCTTGTTGGGTTTGAAGACAGATGCTCGCCACCAGTAACATTGGTCAATGCCAGTCGTGCCATATGGTAAATTATTGGCAGAAGTTGGAATTAATGGGCTGGCTACTGGATCGGGTGCCACTGGTCTACGAGCCCCCTTGTAACCAGCAGGTCCTGGCTTCGTACCCTGTTGAGTGCGTACTGTTGAAGAGTCCCAAACTAGGACGAAACGATTGCCTAGTACTCCCAGGTCTCCCAGTGGTTCTCCAGTCGATGTCAGCTCATCGTGAAATCCTGAAAACAGTGAGTATTTTATTTTTCAGAATTTTTTTTCCTTCACGTTCCCCAGTGGAACATAGGGCTTCAAGCAAGTAACTTGAAGTTTCTGTAGCAGTGTTTATTTTACAGGATGGGGTTGCTAGCCTCATACTCAACCTTTCCTCTTCACCAGCATTAT